AAAAAATATGTGTAGACCATCCACTGAGTGCCAGACAGTGTTAGAGGCTGGCATATAATGGGGAGAGGAGGCAAAGTGCTCACAGTTGTCTTGCAATTACTCATTACACTGTGTGACCCCCCCCCCCCACTGGATCACTGTGTCCTTCCAGGGCAAGAAGATGTCAAGAAACTTTTGAAAGTTTGATCTGAAAGCCAGAAGCCTGTTAAGAGAGTACTCGCTCTGCTGGATCCAGCAGTGTTGTGACTGAAGAAGCATTCAAGAATCTCTAGCAACCCAGAACAGCTGTTTTCCAAAACAAAACACAAGACCAAGCTCTCCTACTCTCCTATTAAATTGGTATTGGGACAACCCAGGTGGAATTTGGAACCACAGCCTCTGGGGGAAGAAGTACACAGCAATATGAAATGTATTGTTATATTCTAGAGTTTGCTTCAACTCCTACAGCTCAAAAATTGTGAAGTGCTAGGAATCAGCCAGTTGGGAGACCATCAACATCACAGTCATACACGTGCAAGTACACCTGACATATCATGTCTCCCCTTTGTATGATGACAGTCTCTTCCAGTGGTTGTTTAAACCACTCCAATTTAGTAGCATTACATAATCTACATATTTTCACTATTACAGCATAGTGTTTCATAATTTGTTAAATGATTCTTAGGTGATCTTCCGTTCCTGAACAGAAGTAATTAACAGATGAATTCTCATTGATTATATGTGCATTAGTCTTATTAATATTTTTAAAGATGCATTGGTACTTTGCTGGTCTGACTTTTTACTCTTGATCTTCTCATTAGTTTTGCTATTTTGAACTCTGATCATAAGTTCTGAGTTACACACAAAAGTTCTGCTATTTCTTCTGCACATATTAACTCTTGAATTCAAGAACTACCACATGCTTATAGATGAAATCTCAGTAACTTCAAAAAATAACAAACTACATTTTCCCCCTTCTCTACAAATTCATTACTATCTTATTTTCAATTTGTGGTTGGCTCAGTTTAAAAATTACCTTTCAACGTCTCCATCTGTTTTGGTGGGCTTTGTTATTCTACTAATTGAAGTTACTCCATTAGCAAAGGTGTAGGTATTCTGGACTCTAAATCCATTGGGAGAAAACTTCTGACAACTCTTTTGTTAAAATTTCCTTTGTAATCCATTGCTCTAATATTGATAAATCAGCTTTTAAAATTGATTACAAGGTCCATCTCTTAGTTAAAAAGAAAAAGGAACATTGGTTTGTTTGGGTTTTTATTTTGAGGCAATTAAGTCATATCGAAATCACCTAACACCTTGTTATCCTCTAGGTATTACAAATTGCTTTTTAATGAACTGCTTCAGAATCTTCTTCCATATGAAAGCTGGGCTCCACAGCTGCCAGTCACTCTAGATTCCCTCTTATGCACCTAGGATTTTCTCCACCAGGAATCTGGCAAAATAATTATTAATGATTCTCAAGTTTTAGTCTCTTTTTCGAGTGCTACCAGATAAATTAAAAAAAAAATTCCCTTAGCTAACTAGTCCATTCTACCTAACACTTAAATTTCTACATCTTCATTAATTGTAATTAAATCTTCAATTATGATACAGCAATAACATTATACAAATCAAATAAGACTTAAAGTATGGTATCTAGTATTGCTTTGACGTCCCTTTTAATTAGTACACTGAGCACTTCGTTCAGTTTCTCTTAATCCGTCTGTAAAATATTCCATTAGTTTTTTGTGAGTTCTCAGCTAGGGAAAGTTCATTCTGGGCCTTACTGTTCTTGAGTGCTCTTGAATTTATGCTTGAGAAGGCCATTTTTTGAAGATAAAACCTGTGGAAGCTGCAGGTCTTAAAACATTCACCATGTATGCAGGTCAAATTTCCCCTCAACTTGACCTCAACAAGACTGCCCTTGAGCTCATTTTATACTCATCATCAGCATGGTGAGAAGTGGGGTCTAGCAGCCTGAGATGGAATCGAGGGCTCTCTAATGCCATAAACCATTTTCTGATGTTTCAGGAACTCAGATCACCTTCTGGTAGGTAACTGTTAGGTTAAAACTAGTTTTGTTTTTCCTATGTTTGAGAAACAAGGACCTCATCTCTCACTTTCAGTTAGATAAGAATTTAGAGGGGGAGAGTGGTAGAGCACATGCTTACCATGCACAAGGTCCTGGGTTCAGTCCCCTCTACCTCCTCTAAAAAACATAAATAAATAAATAAACCTAACTACCTCCCCCTCAACAACAACAAAACCCTAAAAAAAAAAAGATAAGAATTAACCAGGAAATAAATCCTTTACATTAAAGAGAGATCTGATCTCTGTCTTACTGCCAGAACTAGGGCAATTAGACAAAAATCAGACAATACATCACGATTATTTTTCCCAGGCCAAGTATGGATAGCTATTTTCCCACGCGGATATTTCAGTAAGGCAGAGACAAGAAGGTAAACGTGCAGAACAGACAACGAAGGTAACTGCTTTGCCCAGCTGGGGCAGAGGAGGGCAGGGCAGAGGAGAGCAGCTGGAAGGCAGACAGCTATCCCCACCCACCACATTAGCATCCCTAAAGGGCTCTGAGAACGCCAGTCTGAAAAAGCACTAGCCTACAGACTATAAGGATATCTTGGCAGTAACACTCAGAAAGCAATCCTTTGTAATACTCAGCTACATTTTGGGGAGCCTCTCCCAAATCTACTTATTGTCTATTCACAATTAATCTCAACAAAACCAAAACCAAAAGCTCTTCATCCAAATTCACAATTTTTCAAGACTGAGGCTCCCTTCTGTGTTCTCTTTATCATGCTAGCAGACCACAGAACATTTTCTATTGGATGGAGATTGATTTCCTTCCTACCAAAGGGCCACTGGATATCAGCAGTCAGGAAAAGTGAAACCATGACAACATGCTCATAATTGTAGTTTATTATTCTTTCTGTGTGTTATGGTTTTAAATTGCCCCTGAAATTGGTATATGCGTATAATCAGAACTAAGCAAGGCACAACAAATGAGACAGGGCAAAGGATCTCTTCTTATAATTATTTATAATATTTGAGGGTGATACTGAGATTAGGGGAAAGAGAGGGCACTTGAGTTAAAAGTGATGTCCTTAACGTAGGATGCAGCTGCTCCTGACCCATCAGCAACGGGACATGAGCCCGAATCCCCTTCCACTTGTGGGGTGGATTTGTGCCGATCCACGTGTGCCTATGGGGCAAACACCTGGGTGACCAACAGAAGGAGCAGGCACGAGGGCTGCAGGAAAGCAGGTCTGCTGCTGCATGGAACACGAGAACTTACAGTCTGATGCACATATCTCCTCTCAGCAACACTTTATGTGAAAAAACTGGCCATGCTCTCAGAACGTGCCTTTACAATTTCAGTCTTTAAAATGTCTACCTGAGCACGGTGGGGGCCATTTTTGGTCTCATTACCGACTCTATTTGGTTCTCATCCTTGTTTCCTCAATTCTTCATTCCAGTTTTCCCTTATGCTACTTTACCATATTTTTGGACCCTTTTAACATCTGCTTAAAATGAATTTCAGGAAAAGGTAAGATAAAAAGACATAATATTATAACCAGTCTCTTCAAGAGAAAATTATGGCTTGCTGCACAGCAAAAACATTAAAGGCACAGGACATACCAAATTAGCCCTTTAAACAATTCCAGTAACTTTCACAGGGACTAGAGGTGAACACATTTCAGAAGATGTTAAATATTCTTTGACAAAAGCATTTTGTGTAAGTGCTCTGCATCTATGAATAAAAGATCCAGAGGACCACAGGGGAAGGGGAAGATCAAAAAGAATGTAGTTCTAGACAAAAAGGAGACAAACAGTTCCCTCTGGTGTTTCCATAAATTATACAAGAAGCATGACTTCTGTTTAAGACCACCCCACAACAGGTGTTCCAACCAGTAAAAGCAGAAATCAGTAGAGAAGGGTTTTCTAACATTTCAGCTGACATTTGAAAGAGTGAAAGCAACTGAGATGAAAATAGTAAAACGGCTAAAAACACCAACCTCTCCTTCCTAAGTATTCTGCTATAACGAAGGATCCTATTTAGGCAAAGAGTCAAGCCTTGAAATAGATGGGCTACTATGAATTATTTGTGTTGATGGCCTACAAAATGCTACTGTTTCTCTCCTTTCTGTTCTCTCAAATTCCTCCAGAGGCAAAGAAACAGAAAGGGGGAAAAATTTTTTTTAATTTAAAGTGAGGAAAGAAAGAGCATTCACAAATATATTCTTTTGAGAAATATATAAAACAAATCAGATCTTACATTTTTAAGGAAAGCTGGCACTGGTAAGGAGCAGAGCAAGGGCCTGTTTTTCTACTTGTGCTACGTGAGACCGAGCACAGAGTTAACATGGGACTAGGCCGTAAAGATCTGCAGAGATACACTGGCTGGAATCCCAAACCTTTAAAATCTGTCATTATACATAGCTTTGTTTATGATATATACAATTTCATTCTGAATATGTAGAATTTAAAATGCTTTAAAAAGCCTATATAAAAATTTACCTAAAAGGAATTTTAAGGTGTTATAAAACTAAATGTTAAATTAAACTTGTACCACCCTGATTATTTATACTGTTTAGGCACTCAAAAGCAGATGATTTATTCACATACCATTTTCTAATACTCATTCAAAGACACTATCAAATTTGGTGTGTGTCTAAAGAATGATATTCACTTTCTGCCCACTGATGACCTAGAAGAAAACTGCACTTTAAAATTTTTATAAATAATTAACTTTATTTCTAAGGAAACTTTTATTTTCATTATGAGTGTAAAAAAGGAAGAATATGATATACTTCTTAAACTTCTGCTTTGCTTTGGAAAAAATTATGCTTCTCACTGGAACGGCACTGTCAGCTCTTGATTCGTGGACAAGCACCATAAACAGCTGTTTTAGTGCTGAAGGAGGAATGGATGCACATACGTGGGACAGAGTACTGACCCAGCATCATCAATAACTGTCCAGGAAGAATGGACACAAAAGGACACAGCCAACATCTGGCAGAGCATATGCTGGGCTTCTAGGTAGTAAGACTTACAGGACCCAGCAAAGTGGTTCTAGAACACTCCAAATCTCCCCTGAAAGCTCTCTCGGATCCCTAATTTGTCCCACAACCCCTTACTTAACCTCTTCTCTCTTATCCCTCACACTTAAGTGTACACAGTTTCCAAACTACTGAATAGGGGAATAAAACAGAAAACCGCCTGTTAGAATGAATGATAATGAAAGACCATGATGACACTGGAAAACAAAGTGTCTTAGAACAGCATTCTTGGTACCTAATGGGTGACCCATAAGCACTGCTCAGTATGGAGCAGGCCCTCCACGGCACACAGACAAGGCAAATGGCTGGACCAGCCTGTGTTAAATTCCTTGTTTCAACATCCGGCACTCTCCTTTTAAGAAATATGAATGAAAAGAGGAATAATGGTTCACATCATGACAGATGAAGTGGCTGACCTGCTTTATCTTTCTTTCCCCTTTGCTCCCTATCCCATTCACTGCCACAATGAGCCAACATTATTGATAGAAAAGGCAGTATGAAGTATATCGCACATATTGTGTAGATTCATAGCCTAATTTAACTTACATACTCTTCATTTAAACTAATGAAGAAAACATCCATCACTAAAATTTTAAGAAATATGACTATCCTAAAAATGAAGCAATTAAGTTTTAACCATAATTTCAGTCAGAAAATTAAAAGCCCAATCACTTAACACTTAAACTTTTTGCTATGCAACATTTAAAACACACATGCTTACATACATATAAAACAAAATAGTGTAATGAACCCCCTGTGTTTTCATTACCCAGCCCCAACAATAAAAAAAATGGGAACATGTGGTGGTCACACTTATTTCATCTATAAATTTGCCCACTATTTTCTCTGCATTACTAGATAATTTTGAAGCAAGTCTCAGATATTACTTCAGTAATAAATACTTTCGATGTCTCTCTAAAATACATACTTTTAAAAGCCCATAACCACAATCACATTATCACACCTAAAAAAATTACCAGTAAAATTCTTCAGATCAACAAATATCTAGTCAGCATTCAAAGTTCCTGTCTGAATTTTTAAAAATAGTTGTTTGAATCAAGACCAAAACAAGGTCTACACATTGCATTTGGTTGCTGTGTCTTTAAAAAATTCTTTTCATACCTAGTTTTGCCCTCCCTTATTTTTTTTTCCTGTTTGAAATGATTTCATTTGCCCTGCAGAATTCTCAACAGACTAGATCTAACTAACAGATGAGCACAGTGTCATTTAACATGTTCCTCTGTCTCTGATCTCCTATGAATTGGTACTTTTAGCTAGATGATTGAGCAATTTGGGGGCAAGAATCTGTCATAGGTGATGGTTTGCAATTCCCATTGCATCACATCCGAAGGCCGTAATTTCTGTCTTCTGTAGAACATAAGATGGATCAGTGAGTTCAGGTGCTGTCAGCCTGATCCATTCACTGTAAAGTTTCCCATCATCTTTTCAGCTAATAATTTGCGCAGCCACTGATGATCATTGATCTAGGTACATTATTTTGTTAGTGGTTGCAAAAAAACCCCCAAAATCCAAAAACTCAGCCAAGATTTTAACTTCTAGACTTGTTCTTAATGTACTATTCTGGTCAATAGTACAGTTTCTACCTCTGTATTTATGTTCATAAAGAATACAATATTACTATTAGCAAATAGTCTTTACTGAAAAGTATTTTGCTAATATTGCTCAGGAAATAGATATAAATTTGTAGTTTGTACTTCCTAAGCCCCAGTTCTTATATGATGGTTGATAATTTTACCTGAATTTTCTCTATGGCTCAAAGAGCCTTGCTACTGATAAGGTAACTAAAGTTGGGGATAGAACAGCCTTTAATTGACTTATTTTGAAGCAGAAACAACAGATCATAGGATCCTAGAATAACTGGCTGATATTTGTTCTTTTCCAATTAAAAAAAAAGGCTAAAGGCTAGAAGAAATGAACACATATACCCTGAAGACATTTCTCCCTGGCTTATAAGCAGTCCAATAATGCAAACCAAATAAACTATTTGACAGTGGTTAAAATGTATAATTGTTTAATACAAGATTTTTAGCGTGAAAATCTGTAGCCTACAGGCTTTTTCCCTCTTCAGTTTTAGCGTGTTTTCCTCCCTATTTAATTGTGGAGTAAGACAACAGCAGAGCAGAAAAAAATCTATGTAAAAAACAGATTAGATTGATTTGTTATTAAATAGATTGTGAAACCTCAGGGAGGAGAGCTATAATAACAATTCAGTCACCACAAATTCTGGCAAACTTGTCAGTTGTGTTTCCTCCACTTGGCAGACATGCCATGTTCATTTTTATGGCAAGCTGATTAACTGCTGAAAATGCACTAATGGACAATTCTCACTTTTAGGTAGATAATCACATTTCCAATTTCCTTTTCTATACATCATTGGCTTAGAGCTGTATACAGCAGCAGGTCTCTGAAGGGCTGAGGAAACATCTCATCACCCACATCTTTCTCTGTGTCCTTAACCTGCCAAATGGTAATGAGAATGTGAACTTAACACCAATCTTCCTTTATTTCATCATAATGATTAAAGTCATTAGATGAAGGAATGGTAAATCGCCCCACCCCAAATAATGAACTGCAGAAAGTACATTAATGGCAAAGTTTTTCAAGATTGTTTTCTAGAATCTTTGAATCAGTTATCTACAAGACTTCTTGTAATGTCTCTGATCAACCAAGAATAGAGATAGCTGTCACTCCAAAGTTTCCATTAGAGACATTTTTGGAGAGACAAAATAGTGGTAGTGGAGTAGGGCTGGGGAGTAAGGGTTTTATAGTTGCCTTTATACAGCAAGAAGTTTCTACATAGACTGTGTCTATCTGCGGTGGTAGCGTGGAGGTAAATGGAGTGCCTAAGTCTTTCCAGATCAATTTCCAGACACCTCAGTGGAAAAACCAATAGAATAACACTATCCTTTGGAGAAAATATCTTAATGTTAAATTCATGTGTACTGTAATAATGAAAACCAAAGCAAAGTAAAACACAAAACAAACCAAAAAGGAAACCCTACTGAACAGTAAGCAGATAACGGGTACAGAGCACTGATCAGCATAAGTGTGTATTATGTAACAGGTGCTCAGTAGCTATTGTTTTCTCCTGTCTAAGAGAGTTACCAAGTATTTTTACTTAAGGATATGAGAGTCAAAGACCTCCCTTGATAGAGCCAGGACAGACAATGTAATCTGATCAATACAGCACTCTTCAAAAACTAAAAATAATAAAATATAGACATATATTTTATGCTGATATTTGGGTGCTTTACCATAGTTACACACTAGCAAGGTCCCTTCTACTAAATTGGAAATTCCAGGCTTTTGTATCTTTGTATTTCTACAAGAAAGCAAAGGCAGAAATATTTATTGAGTGAATTTATAGAAGACATCATAAACATCTGCAGAAAAAAATAAATGCAGAGTTACTAAAGGAAATGTGGAAAGAGAAAGAGAAAGCAATGTCAGCATCATTTGTTTGGTCAGATTAGGAGAATTTGGGGACCACTATCATATATCAGATAAGAGGTTGTTTCTCCTACATATCTGTCATAATACTAAAGATTTTCATTCTAAAAATAGATTAACAGAGTGTACTTTTGTGTTGTGATGTACTAAGGCCTGTACTGTTTTAAGATATATATCCCAGAGTTATTTCAGCACAATAAAACTAATGACAGAACCAAAAAGAGTAAACCAAATTACCCATTAGAAAAATGGGCAAAGGATATGAATAAAAGAGGAAATGCAAGTGGATCATAAGGCTATGAAAAGCTACTCAATCTCACTAGTCATCAAGAAAATATAAAGTAAAATGAGATAATGTTAGACTGGTAAAATTCAAAGAGCCTGCCTAATATTAAGTGTTGGTCAAGAAAGAGAGAATGAGAGCCAGAGAGAGACAAAAAACCTGGAACTTTTCCACACACTGCTTAGAGTGTGCAATTGTTGAGGTACCTGAGAAAGTAATTCAGCAAGATCTAGAAAAACTGAAAATGTGCATTCATTATGCCCCAAATATTCTACTTCTAATGATGCCTTTTCTAGAATCTTACTCATGTAAACCAGGAGATAAGTTCCAAGATGTTCACTACTGCTTTACTTTAAATATTTAAAAGTGGAACTTAAATGTTCTTCAATAGGGGAATGGACAGTTTAATTTTCTATGGCATAAATATATAACAGCAGTTGAAAAGTTAAACTAGATCTACATATATCAATATGAATAGAGCTCAAACATTGAGCAGAGGAATCAAGATGCATATTGACACATGGATTATACCACTTGTGTATGTTAAAAAAGCAACACAAAACATGGGCCATGGGAGTATGTGATGTTTACATATTATATAAAAGTATACAAAGTAAGACTATATACTACTATCTAATACCTACTAGGAAGGGAGAATGGGGCAAAGAGGTCTTGAATTTTATGTTTAACGTATTTTTTATATAAAAAAGTCAAAATAATGAATTATCAACACTTTTCAATTCTGAGATGTAAGTACCCGAATTTTTCTCATATTATTCTCTGTACTTTTTAGTATTTTTAGCATTTCTCAAGACAAAGATTAAAAAACACAAAATAATTGTAATAGGAAAATACAGGATGGGGAGAGGGTATAGCTCAGTAGTATAATACATGCTTAGCATGCACAAGGTCCTGGGTTCAATCCTCAGGATCCCCATGAAAAAATAATAATGAAGAAATAAGTTAAAAATAAATAAATAAACCTAATTACCCTCCCCCCAAAAGAAAAAAATAACAAAAAGAAAATATAGAGTTAAAGCAGTCATTAATTTCTATAAAGCAGTAAAGGTAAATTTTCCTAAAAACTATCATGAAATAAACTATATGGCCTATTTAAATTATAATTTATCAATATATATACATGGTTAAAAAAACCTAATGACTAAGAGCAGGGGCTAGTAATATAATCCTTGTATTGATTCAGTAATTCATCACTGTTAAATATTTTAGGAATAGTAATTATAGGATGTGAACTATGAAAAATTAAAGAAAATGAAATAACATTATTTTAATTAAAACAGTTCTTTAAAAGTTAATTAAATAATGGCATGGTACATATATTTTAGATGCATGGGCTTCTGAATTTTTAAAACTATTTTCCTCTTCATTAGTTAGGAAAATTAATACAGTGGGCTGCCTCTATATTTAACCAAATATATTAAAATAGTCTTAATCTGAAACTTTGATTAAGTATGAACTCGATCTCTTTTTATTGTTCTTCCTAACCATATCACCAAATTAACATTTTAAAATGCTCAGTTTAAGAAATAGGTAATTCATTTTGAAATATTTATTCACTATGATTAAAACATTTTGTTTGCATAATGTTCTAGGTCTAGTATTTATGAAAACTACTTGGCCTCTTCTTAGGTTAAAATAATTTAGCTAACTGGAATACTAGTTGAATTACCTTGGGCTCACACCCTACAGAAGGCTTAGTTTATGTAAGTTTAATTCAAAAGTGTAGAGACAGTTGCTACTTG